GGAAGGCCGAGCGGTGACAGCTCCATGGACGAGCGTTGGAGGACGCCTACCTGAGGACCCTGACGACCAGAGACGGAGCAATCAACGGCAAGAGAGTGGTTGAGAGGAGGCTAGAGGAGAGCGGCGATTTTTTCCTAGGGTTCGAGGAACTTGAATCGAAGAAAAGGTTTGTTCATGAATAAATGGGTCATCACTATTGACTTCTATACTAAAGGTTTGTTTGCTTCGTCCATATAAACGTACTTCATATTTCGAGTTTTTCTTGCGGTGTTAGGAGTTTTGTAAGCTTCATATATTAGATTTATTATGGACGACGCAAACAATGTCTTCATATATTAGTTTTGTAATCTACCATTATTTGTAAGTTTTATTTTTTATTATGGTTCACACAATCCAGCCCTCTAATACACGATCCAATGTCAATAAAATGGACCTCATGAAGAAGATAGAAATCCTCGATTCAACAAAGTTGGAAAGTGTTTGTATTTCGATCTCATCTCGCAATTTCTATTTCTTGATCTCATAATTTTTCGATAAAAAACTAGGAAGAGATAATGAGATTTATAACTATGTCAAATATAATTATATAAGTTATATGAGATCATGTGGTCCAATATGTAAATGGACTTAATTATTCAGTTAAGTATAAATTAAATTTAGTATAATAATATATTTCATATTAAATAAAAAATAATCTCGCTATTCATAATTAAATACTCTATTGAATTGAATATTTAACACCCCTGATTCACTATTATTCGAAAAAGTCGATTGAATATTGTGTGACCCTATAGCATTCATATATTAACATAAATCTAATATATGAAGCTTACAAAACTCCTAACACCGCAAAAAAAACTCGAAATATGAAGTACGTTTATATGGACGAAGCAAACAAACCTTTAGTATAGAAGTCAATAGTGATGACCCATTTATTCATGAACAACTCGATTAAATTTAGGACGAATGCATGTCTATCCTAATGAGGTTGCACATCAGCATGCGTCTGAGCGGCTTTTAGTGAAGAGTTGGGGTCGACAGCGACGGCGTTGGATAGTGATTCTGGAAAAACGCATTAAAAAAATGAGTGTGAGGATCATACCAGTGAGAATGTGGAACAAAATACATAATGTGCAGCACGAGAGCAGCTCGTCGCACACGACGCCTACCTTGTCATCTACGGGCTTGACTGCACAACTAGATAGTCTAAAATACCAGAGGAGTTGAAGCTCGGAGGTCAGCTTTACCACATGAAGCGCTTGTTGATTCCATTGACAAATGAGGGCTCATACTCGACGTTTCTTCTAGGGATTTTGGGCTAACTTGGTAGCTCGTGCTGCCACTTAGGTGAAAAATCAAGAGTATCAGGAAGGCGACGTTTCTTCTAGGGATTTTATACACACACACACACACACACACACACACACACATATATATATATATATATATATATATATATATATAGGGGGCAGATCAAATGATGCCGGCTCTTAAAATGCGGACAACTCTTAAAATGCGGACAACTCTTAGCAACTACAGACAACTAACCTAGCAACTATAGAGAACTAACCTAGAAACTATAGAGAACTAACCTAGCTACTACTAACCTAGAAACTACGGAGAACTAATCTAGCAACTACGGAGAACTAATCTAGCAACTACTAACTTAGCAACTACAGAGAACTAATCTAGCAAGTAACAACGACAGAGAACTAACCTAGCAACTACTAACCTACCAACTACAGACAACTAACCTAGCAACTACATACTAATAACTTAGCAACTACAAAGAACTAACCTAGCAACTACATAGAACTAACTTAGCAACTGCAGAGAACTAACCTAGCAACTACAGACAACTAACCTAGCAACTACAAAGAACTAACTTAGCAACTATAGAGAACTAACCTAGCAACTGCAGACAACTAACCTAGTTGGAAGGTTATTTGTCAACGGTCAACGTCGAAGTCAATGCCAAAAGCCAACGGTCAATGTCGGAAGTCAACGGTCAACGTCGGAAGTCAACGGATTTTGCCGAAAGTCAACGTCGGAAGTCAACGGTCAACGCCGGAGTCAACGGGTCAAAATAATATTTAAATAATTAAAACAATAAAAAGAAAAGATTAAATCTTGGTCACACATTATGTACCAAATCTTGTGGCTAAAAATGAGTCTCACGTCCTCACTTTAAGAAACCAGCCGCATTTGACCATAGTTGGGATCATATGAGAATGATTGATAGTGAAAGTAATCTGGACCATGAGATCAATCGTATTAATGGTTATGATGAAGTCAAACTATGGTTAATTATTAATGGCAATCTAGTAATTATATGATCATAATGTGGACAAATATATACATTTGACCAATAATTAAGGGTAGTTTGGACATTTAATTCAAATCCAACAACCATGTGGGACCCACCACTACACACATTAACAATTAATGTCATCATAAATATCGGCCACCCCACTAACCCCTCATTCATCTTCTCCCACACGCACACACATACACACACACACACACATGTACATTACACAGCACACACACACACACGGTTGGGATCGTACACTCGGGCATTACCCTATTGCGGTCTTTGTGTGCTTGTTTTTTAGTAGTGTTCTTTTGTTTTCCGTGTATTTCCCGGTTAGGGTCGGTTCAAGGCAGTGTTCAGACTTGTCTTCCCCCTTTTCCAGCTGTTAGTTGTTTCTATTCAGTTGTTAGTTGTTTGTATTCTGTCGATGGCTGCTCTATTCAGTTGTTAGTTTTTTGTAATTTATTTTTAATTATTTATTTATTTATTTATTTATTTATTTGTTTATTTTTCTGTAACCTGTGCATGTGCACAAAATTAATACTAGTTTTATAAATAAGAGTGGCTAATGACAACAAATTTAAAATAAATGTACAATTTAATTTTATTTAACATATTTTAATTGTAACTATTATTTAATAAGTACACATTTTTGAAATTCAAGATTTAAAATAGAGTTTTAGTTATTTTATTTAATTTTTATAATTACTCTACTTTTATTTATATTGCAAAACGTATTATCATGAAAGAAAATTTATATTATACATACTATTATTAACAAGTAAACTTAAATCATATTATGCATATTGTTTTAATGAATAATTTAAACAAATTTTTTTAAGATTATATATTTTTCACTTAACGAATAAGTTTTTTCCACAAAAAAAAAAAATAAAAAAAACTGACAGTTTGTATGATGAAGAATTATTTTTCATTCAATCGTTCTTAAACATATGCATATTCACCAAATTTTTCCTCTTTAGTTTTTTTAATACTATAACAAAAAAAATTCTATAGTTATAATATGATAGTTAGAAATTAGAAATAATATTTTCATTGGTGCATTATGTATTTTACACTTATGACATAAAAATATATTTTATTTAAAATAATATTTTTTCTTACATTAAAAAACTACCTTTAAAATAACCAAACCGAAACCTAACATCATATGTTGATTAATTCTGAATAATATAATTAAAAATAAATTATTTAAAATCTATATATTTGCGTAGATAATCTTTTTGTATTAGCTAATATTCAGGTAATGAATAACATTTTTTTCACAAAAATTGATAGTTTGTATGTTCAAAAATTATTTTCCATTCAATCATTCTACAACATATGCATATTCACTAAATTTTTCCTCTTTATTTATTTTTTAATATTGTAACCAAAAATCTCTCTAGTAACAATATGATAGTTTGGAATTATAGATGGTATTTTTATTGTTGCGTTATATATTTTACACTTATGAAATAAATATTTTATTTAAAATAATATCTTCTCTTACACTTATAAACTACATTTAAAATAACCAAACTGAAACCTAACGTTCATATGTAGATTAATTAAGATTAAAATAATTAAAAATATATTATTTATTTAGAATCTATAAATTTGCATAGATAATCTTTTTGTATGTGTAAAAACTTTAAGATATAATTAAAGTATAAAAGATAATGAATAAAAGTAGAAATGAAAGTTTAAAAACTTAACAATATTGTTAGTTGTAACTTCTTAACATTAATATGAAAATTACATTCTTTTTTTTTTTTTGTCGAAGAAAATTACATCCATAACCTTAAAACTTATCTTTCGTAAGGGCATTCTTGGCACTTAAAATATTTCAAGAAACTACTCTTCCTTTTGAGGGAGTTATAGATTATAGATATAGATTATAGATATATAATTAGGGGCTATCCCATTAATGCTAAAATTTTTCGTTTTTCACTCTTTTTGGGAAGGGTTAATTATGACAAAAAAATTATATTGTTTTTTTTTTTATTGAAATATAAAAATCTAACTAAGAGTCATTAATATAACGATTTAATTATAAATGTGATATATACTATTATATAAAATTTTATTTTAATTAAAGCTTTTATATATAATATTTTATTTATTTTTGATAAGTTGTGCATGTGCATAGGATTAATACTAGCGATATATAAATACTACTTGAATGAAGAAAAAAAAAAAGATTATATATAATAATAAATGTTAGACAAAATTTGACCAAGTTTCTATCTTATATATAAGGGAGACGCCACGCTCCCATTACGGAACCATTCCGTCGAGATTTGTAACTGTTAAATCATCATGTAACCGTCGGGGGATAGTTGATCTAACAGTTACAAACCCCGACGGAATGGTTCCATAATAGGACCGTAGCATTTCCCTATATTTAATTTGACCAAGTTTACAATATTATGTTCATCTATATCATGCAGTGGAAATGATTTTTATATGCAGAGAGACATGCCAGTAAGAGCTATTGATAAAAACGGTAATAGTCATAGGATACAGAATCTTACAACACACATCACAAAGGAAACTGAAAGTTATAATACATCCAATCTTCAAAACAGCCACACTAGAGACAAACATCATAAAATACCGCAAAAAAATTTAAGTGTAAGTTTCCTTTGAGGAGAGGTGCATGCAAACTCTGTCATTAGAGCCTTCACAGATTTCGCCCCAGCACTCTCGTTAGCCTTCTCCATTTGATAATGGAATACACGTAAACGCATTCCCATAAATTCTGAAAGAACGCGTAATATGCTTCTCTCCATTTGCTCTTGAAATACAACATCGTAAGGACAATCGAAAGCCCCACGGCATATCCTAAAGATAGAAACACGTAAAACCAATCAATCTCCCTCTTGTTGCCTTCTCGGCCTTGATTTTCTGTATGCACTGGACCAAGTGTATTATCTCCATTTCCACATGACATTATAAGTGGAGGGCCACAGAGATTGTTGCCAACGAAGCTTGACTCGCTCAAGCCTCGAATCTGGGTGCTATCTGGAATTCTCCCCGTCAAGTTGTTATACGACAAATTTAGGCTATTCAAAAAAGATATGGTTGTGATGCTACCTGGAATCTTGCCTGATATTGAGTTCATTGACAAATCAAAAGATTCGAGTTGCTTCATGTTTCCAATGTTGTCTGGGATGGATCCTGTTAAATGATTTCGCGATAGGTTCAATGATCTGAGTTCCACCAGACTTGTTATCTCGCTCGGGATATCACCGAACAAATTGTTCATGGAAAAGTCAATACTGGTAACCAGAAAGAGAGTGGTGTCATAACTGAGTTCTCTTCCCTTTGTGGCAATTGTTGCCCTTTCCGGAAAATTTTCAGTATAACTAGAACGGTATGGCCAATACCAAAATCCTTCTGTACTCAATGCGATAAGATTGTCGAGGCAGGTAGGCATTCTCCCTGAAAGTCTGTTACGTGAGAGATCCAAGATTTGAAGAGAAGTTAGTTGGCATATGGATGGAGTAATTTCACCACTGAATTTGTTGGACCGCAAAATGAGGTATCTCAAATTGAAAAATCTCGTGTCTATCCATTTCGGTATGTCCCCATCAAGATTGTTATCAGCAAAGTCGATCTTCACTAATTCTGTGCAGTTTTGCAATGAAGAAGGTAATTGGCCAGACAAGAAGTTGCTGCGTAGAGTCAAGGCCTCCAATCTTTTAACAAATCCTATGGAATCTGGTATTTTTCCAGACAACTTATTGTTGCCTAAGTTC